GGTATTTAAGCAAGAGTTGAGAGAATGACATTAAGAGCTTTTTTTATTTCAAAGGGCCATTGCTATGAAAAGTCAGACCATGCCTGTGCAGGCAAGGAGAGGCACCCTGAAGTGGCCAGCACTGGAGACCATGGAATTTGTGGGTGGCCAGGGGGGGACACTCCTGTGCCCACACTTGGACAGGAAGGCAGAAGGCCCCAGTGCCATTTAGTGTGGGAGCAGAGCGGCAGCCTGGTGCAGCCCCACGCCACCTGTGCCGTGCTCTTTGGGCATGGGCTGTCCACAGGCAGACAATGTCTGTGAGCTGCCACATGCCAGCAGGAGTTCCAGGCTATTCTCGAAGACTCCCAGGACTGGGATAGCATCAGCTCTTCACTGAGACTTAATAGCTTGGATAAGATGTTGCCAGAGCAGTACATTAGCAGTGCCATGACCCAGCAGGCTTTTTTTTACCTGGAGCCCCGGGGAAACTGCCCTGTGCTCTCTGTGTCCCCAGGCTGTGCTGGCTGTGTCCCTGGGCTGTGCTGGCCATGTAGCTCTCCTGCAGCCTTATGGGCTGTGGGACTGCCACCCCAGGATCTGTGTGTAGGAGCCTGTCAGGCAGGAGCTGTGGCTTGTCACACATGTGCTGTGCAAAGCAGACCTACCCAAAGCTGTGTGTTGGAAATGTCCCAGTCTCCATCCCTGTGGATGCACCAAAACTGACTTTGCTCTAAATTAAATTCCATGGATAAGCTTGTACGTAGCCAAGATTTTACTTCAGCACCCTCTCAAAATAGCACACCCGAGGAACAAAACAGATACAAGCTGTGAATCCAAACATTCTGACAGCATGATAAAGATGGCTGTTCCCTTCAGGAGCATGTCAGCAGAGCAGCACAATGCCTTGCTGTCTCAGGGCCTTACCTCATGGCTGCAGGTGAACATGGTCTTTTGTCTCCTGCACCCCCTTTCTCCTCTGTAGGGTTCCCAGGACAGATGTGGTGAGATTTGAAAGGCATTATTCTGCATGTCCCCTGCAGAAGTGGAAATGCAGCATCCCTCCTGCCCAAAAGGAGCTGCAAGATGCTTGGGGCCCACATGCCCAGTTATCCTGTACTTCCCTTGTCAGCTGACACAGGGTGACTCAGGGAAGGTCTTGGGAGTGCTGATGGTCTAGCAGGCAGCCAAGGCACTGGAAGAGCAGGGAGCCAAGGCACTGGAAGAGCAGGGTATAATTGTGGGAAGTCAGAAAATATCCTCCTACTGCTACAAGGGCAAGGATGGATTGACAAGCAGTGCAGGAGGCACCAAGCTCTGCTGTCGGGCTTGCAGGGGTGCAGTGGTGCTCACATTAACTCCTTGTCATAGAGATCTTCACAATATGCAACTCAAGGTCTCTCTAGGTTTGATTAGAAACAGACACCCCAAACTTTGCACTGAAACTTTGAGGCCATCTCCTGTTACAGGAAGTCTGGGCATATCCATATGCAGATGTATGCAATTTGTTTCACTTCAGCAGTTAGCGTGACTGTTTTGAGGTCAGGGAGCCTGTTTCTAGGGAATGAGAGTTGTTTCTTGGGATGCTCAGCTGAGGGTGGATGCACACCATGCCCTCCCAGCACTGCCATCAGGCCCTCCATCCCAGAGTTTCTGCCCCTCCCATGGAAACAGTTCATCCCTAGCAGGGCTCTCAGGGGCTGGAGGTGAAGAAGCCCATGTCTGCTGCAGTGCAGGAGCACTGGAGCAGCATGGGAACACCCAGTGTGTGTGCAGCAGGGACAGTCCTTGCTCCTTGGGGCTGATAGTTTGTGATGGAGATAACTTATCACTGCTGAAAATCCTGGGCCCAGCTCTCAGCTGCAGTTTGAGCTATGCTGTCAACGAAATTAGAACAGACACAGAGCATTTCTCTCTTCCTCTGGGTGTGTGTGTTTGTGTGTTTGTGTTTGTGCATGTTTGTGCAGACCCTTCCCCAGCTAACTGAGCTCCTGAAGCAGATAAAAACCAGCAGAGGATTTCCCAAGGAAAGGCTTCAGGTCTTGTGTTTGCTGCTGCTGGAGCTGCAGGGGGCTTAGGAGTTAGGGAGGCAGCCAGAGCACAGCTGTAGGGGAAAATGTACTGAGCTTCCTGACATCATAAATAATAAAAGAAAGAGAGAAAGAAAAAAAAAAAAAAACAACAAACAAAAAAAAACCAAACAAACAAAAAAAAAAACAAACAAAAAAAAACCAAACAAACAAAAAAAAAAACAAACAAAAAAAAACCAAACAAACAAAAAAAAAAACAAACAAAAAAAAACCAAACAAACAAAAAAAAAAACAAACAAAAAAAAACCAAACAAACAAAAAAAAAAACAAACAAAAAAAAACCAAACAAACAAAAAAAAAAACAAACAAAAAAAAACCAAACAAACAAAAAAAAAAACAAACAAAAAAAAACCAAACAAACAAAAAAAAAAACAAACAAAAAAAAACCAAACAAACAAAAAAAAAAACAAACAAAAAAAAACCAAACAAACAAAAAAAAAAACAAACAAAAAAAAACCAAACAAACAAAAAAAAAAACAAACAAAAAAAAACCAAACAAACAAAAAAAAAAACAAACAAAAAAAAACCAAACAAACAAAAAAAAAAACAAACAAAAAAAAACCAAACAAACAAAAAAAAAAACAAACAAAAAAAAACCAAACAAACAAAAAAAAAAACAAACAAAAAAAAACCAAACAAACAAAAAAAAAAACAAACAAAAAAAAAACCAAAAAAAACCAAAAAAAAAAACCAAACAAAACAAAACAAAAAAAGACCAAAAACCAACCCATTGGAATACTTTATTTATTACTGTCTCTACTGAGTCCCATAGGTGGTAGTCCATTGCTGCAGACTTTCTTCAACTGTTTTATTTTCAGTTGTAAAAATTATAAATATCATGTCCGTAACTTATGACTTACCAAGGCTGTGGGGCAGGGCACTGTCCCAGCCCATTTTGGACAGGTCTGTCCACCTGCATCCCCCAGGAACAGTGGGAGAGGTCAGCCAGTTGGAGAAGGCAGGTTCAAAGAAGAGGCAGTGTGTCAGTCTCTGGCCTAGACACTGGTCCTGGAACCCAGGGAGAATAAATCTTTGCAAAATGTTCCCAAGGATCAAAGCAAAGAGAGCTGAGATAGATATCAAGCTTTGGTAAGCTTTATAGGAAGATCTTCAAAAGTCTGAAGGAACAATATTAGAGAAAGCAAAAAATCTGAAATCACAGTAGGGTGAAAGTGGCAGGTGATTCCATTGCCTTCATCCAAGGTCTGCCTACAAGCCCTCTGTACCACCTGGGCATTTTCTTCTCAAATCCCTTTCACAGCTCACCCCTCCAGGCTTAAACCTGGGCCACCCTTGCTCTCATGCCTGAGGGTGATAGCTACATTTCACCCTCCTGTTTTCATCCCAGTCATCTCAGTGCAGTCTTTCAGCTGTAAGAGTGAGAGATGAGCAAGGACTTGTACACTGTGCACCTTTTCATAACAATTTTCATGGGTTTTTGGCTGTGAAGATGTGACAGATCTGTTCACAGAAGGGCTAAACTGTAAATATACAGTGAATTAGCAAAAGGATTTTGTAACAAGAGATGAGTATTGCCAAAGACACAGGCTAAGATGCCTAAGCTGGCATTAATGACCCTATCACATTGCTTGGGAAAAGCTCCCAGTGGGGACATCACTAAATAGTGGAACTGTTTCCCAGAAAGACTGATCCTGGCCTGGTAAGTTCTAAAAATAGACTAAAGGGAAATTTCAAAAAAATATGAGACACTTGATGTGCTCTTGGCTTGGTAAAGAGAGCATGGATAGAAAATACCACAGTATCACTTCCCACACATTTAGGAACTAAGCATATTGGCTCAAGGTTAAAGCCTGCAGTAGGGCTACCATGTTTTTTGCCCTCAGATCCCAGGCAGAAGTGTGGCCAGGCGTCACACTTGGCTGTGCACTATATGGCAGGTGGCCAGTTGCTCACACAGATCCCTCTTTTTCTGTCCTGGGTTCAGCCCACCATGCAGAGCAGTGGCATCAGATAAGGGAGAGCCATGGATCCCCAGCAGGGTCCTGCTGGCGTAGCATCACTCGTGCTCATGAAAGGGACACGACTGTCACTGGAGGCAGGAGGTGTGCAGGAGAGGACACACACAGTGCCTGTGCCTGAGGATGCATATACCCTGTTACAAAGCTACATGGTGGTTTTACTGGAGCTGCTAAGCCTTAGAAAGGAAACAGTTCAGTTCAGCGGTTAAAACCTCTTCCTCCTGCCTGCCATACTGCTCTCACATGTCATGTCTCATTAATTATCAATTGTTGAGGGCAACCAGGGGGGAACAGCCCCCCAGACTGCTGTCACACTCCTCTCATTTTCCTCTGCCCTGCACACAGAGGGTGCTGTTTCTGCAGGTGTCTCAGACCTGTCCTTTTCCCCTTTCACAACCTCTCTGCCAAAAGCAGTGCCAGTCCTGGCAGAAGGCTGTGGGGGTGACAGGGGCTGTCAGTCAGGAGCACCTCTGCTGACACACTAGCACTGCCTGAGGAGGCAGGAGCAGAAAACAGATCCCACCAAGCACCTCGTGGCTGTTCTGTACTTCTGGTTTTCTACACTGTGTTATTCAGCAGGGGAGCACACATGGGCTGGTTACAGGGGACCTGCATGGAGCAAGGAGCAGAGGAGTACCTCTCAGAGACCTTTCCTGTGACCAGGACCAAGGAATGTAGTGCTCCATGGTGTTCAACCCTGATGTGGGTGTTGAGAGGCTCAAGGAGAGTCTTGCTGGGGTGTGTGTACCTGAGTGCACAGGGCTCATTCTCCCATCTGGGTCTCTGAGAGGGAGCAGGAACTGAGAGAGCTTGCCCCAACCTCCTCTTGCCCATCTGTGCTGGGCAAAATAGGTCAAAATATTAATATGTGTTTCCTTTTCTCTCTCTCCCTGCCCCCTACCCCTGGTCAAACCTGCCCTCCTCTTCCCTCCCCTACCTCCCACTGAAACAGGTAAGGAAAGCGGATTGGGAGAGCCTGACTTGCAGCCAAGCTCCGACCCTTCAGCAATGGACAGCAGCTACCTCAGCGTGAAGGAGGCCGGGGTGAAGGTGCCCCAGGACAGGGCCAGCACAGACCTCCCCAGCCCCATGGACAAGGCTGACTCGGAGAGCAACAAGGGCAAAAAGCGGAGGAACCGCACCACCTTCACAAGTTACCAGCTGGAGGAGCTGGAGAAGGTCTTCCAGAAGACCCACTATCCCGATGTCTACGCCAGGGAGCAGCTAGCCATGAGGACAGACCTCACCGAGGCTCGTGTACAGGTATGGGGGGAAATCCTGGGGCTGCCTAAGGGGTGGATGAGCTGCAAAAAACCTCTGAGGTTCCCTTGCAGCCCCGCCATAAGCTGCAGGCAGCTGAGCCCTAATCAGAACCTGTGGCACTGGGGAAGCACGAGGAGGTACATCCACATGTGACACTGGTGTTACCTCCTTTATTTGGTCTGGTGTCCTGCAATCCAGTGCTCACAGAAACACTCTTGCCCTTGAGCTAATGGGACACCAGGTGGGTAGGCCTTACCACCACCCTGAACAAAGCTTGCACAAAACCTGCTCTCTTCAGGAGGCTTGCAGGGGACACAGGTTCATTAGTCTGAGTGGGAGCAAGCTTTTCCACAGCATCGGCTCCTTCTGGCAGATGGGGCTGCAAGGTGACTGAAAGTTCACTGCCAAGAACATGGTGATGCAAGAGAGGCAGCTCTTATTGCTGCTTGGCCAGTGCTGAGACTGCATGAAAGCTGGAGATCTGGAGGCCAAAGGTGCACGCACCACCTTAGGAGAAGCAGGAGAGTCAAAGAGCCTCACTGTTGACAGTCTCAACCACCCTCACCCTCACAGGTGCCAGCTCTCATGAATTAGCTCTCTTGAACTAACCTGGGGGGCCAGCAGACCTGAAATGCACATCACAGGAGGGAATGATTCTCCGACTACTGCTCTTTCCTGTGAGTCAAGCTTAAACAGGAGGCATGTCAGGGCTCAGAAGCATGTGCAAAAAGGAGCACCACTGGATGGAGTGGGCACCCGCAGCTCACACCTTGGTGGCCAGCTCCTTCTCCAGCACAGCTAATCCTGTCACTTCCGCCTGCAGGCATTTGTCAGCTCACCACCCCCAGAACCTGCACTAGCATCAAGAATAATTGGCCCATGGAGACACCTGAATCTACCTTTTATACCAGGAATATTCCCAGCTCCCAGGCAGCCTCTGCTTTAATCTTTACAAGTAGTTGTTGCAAATAAGGCCCACCATCCATGCTTAAGTCCATTTTAGTTTGTACATTCACTTCTGAATTCAACCAGAAGCAGAATTTTTCTTGTGTGCTGGCCTAAACTGGTCTGCAGGGCTGGTGTGCTCTTCCTCCTCACAGCTGTTTCTCTTCAGGCTGGACGTGGCTGCGTTTCAGTAGGCAGCAGTGCAACTCCCATTGGTCCTGAGTGCAGCATGCTGAGCACCGCAGGGTGGGCAGAGCAGGGCAGTGCTACAAACATCAGCTTGTGCCACTACATGCAGCTCTTGATTTCCCAAGAACGCACTACAAGTGCTAATGGGGTCTCCTGGGACTCCGGGCATAGCATCGGGTTACTGGCTGCACAGTGCATGACATTCCTTCAGCTCAGGAATGAGAATGAGGTGCTGGAGGGTGGCGAGTTCCTCCTGCTCGCTTCTGAGCCAGGGTTTGCAGCTACTGTGTCGTCCCAGGCAGTGTGAAGGGCTGTCCATCAGAGCCAGGGCAGGGGAGGCAGATGCAATCTACACATTCCTTACATATGACCCTTCATCTTGGGGTTTTTCCCCACTTCACTACTGGATCACACTTCAGCTGAGGGCAGAAGAACTCCCTAGGTAGCCTGGAGTATATTTGGCAAAGGGGGGTTCAGCTTACTCTGAGATAAGCGTGCCAGCAGCCTGTTGCCATAGGCAGCCAAGAACAGCCTCCCTGCCAGTGCCACCCCTCACTTGGGAGGGCGATGACAGGGCTCGTGTGACAGAGCTGCTGAAGGGTTTGTCTGAGTGGCCTGGCTGCTCGTGCACTTACCCCATGGTGAAAGGGGTAAGCACTTGCATTTCAGTCATTCCCTTGCTCTGCCGGGAAGGACCCGCTGACCTGGGCTGTGGGCTGGCACCAGGCCACCACCTCGTGATGCAGGACTGCCGTGCTGTCAGCAGCAGAGCGCACTCCGGCCACTGGAGAGCAAGGACCAGCAGGCTTGTGCCCAGAGCAGCAGGTGCTGGCTGGACAGGCCCAGAGGCAGCCCAGGTTCTGGTATCTCAGATATGTTCCCAGGGGGATGAGACTGTTGGTTAGGGAGCTGCTTGGCCTTGGCACGGCAGTGGCAGCCCCTGCGAGGCGTGGAGGTGCAGTCTGAGGGCTCTTCCGCTGGTGGCACAGGGCTGCTCTTCCAATGAGAGAGGCTTTTGGAGACAAAGCCTTAGTGAATCAACCTAGTGCCTGTCTCCACCTCTGGGTTGTGCTATAGCTTGTTTAGCCTTGTTTTTGGCCTCCCACCCCCTGGGCAGTTCTGCTCTTCCAACACCAGCAGTGTGGCATCAAGGGCCATTAACTCCCAGCCCAAGAGTGGGTACGGGCATGGGGCTGCAGCTCAGGAGGCTGATGGTGAAGCAAATGCCTACTGCCAGGACCAAGGGCTAGAGGGTGGAAATCACAAATTAGACACAAGCCCCTCACTACTTTTCCCCTGCAAGCCAAAGAGCTGCTAGGTACTCAGACACCCTCCATTGCACTGGGAAAGGTTTGGCTCCTGTGGGGTGTTTGGACACACACCTACTGCAGCCCCATGAGCTTTGAGGGAAGCACAGTAGTCCCTCTCCCAAAGAAGATATGGTCATCTAAGGGATAATCCTGCCCTGGAATGGTTTTCTGGAGGTCAGCTTCAGCTGCCTGCAAAGCTGAACTAAGCAAAGCAAGATGGCAGAAAGGCAATGCACAGGTTTAAGGTGTGATGCTCCCTCCCACAGCTTTTGGCTGGAGGTTATCCCCTCTGGCCAGGCTTGGCTTCCTGGGGAGCATAACCAGCTGCACTGCAGGCAGGAGCAGATGCAGGGCCCAGACAGGTTCTGCAGCTCTGAGTTTTCCATCCCGTTCCCAAGTTCATGCTTCATTAGTGAAGTAGCTGCCGGAGATTTTGGTGTCTGGAGAAGAGCCCATGCCAGCAGCATACATGAGGTGGACCATACTGTCTGTGAAGCAATGGCATTCCATGGCCTGGCCCCTCTCCTGCTCCATTTCCTTGCTTGCCTCAGTTTCCAGCCATCTGTACTGGTGTCTGACAATGCCAAAGCTAATTCCCTCTGTGACGCAGTGCAACATTTCCCTGTCTACTCTTCACAGCCTTGCCCCTTGTTTCCATGTACTATTAAGATACTGCACACCCCTGTTTTCCAAAGTGGGAGCCATGCATAAGCTCTGTGCAGAGGCACAGCCAGGAAGAGGTTGCTATGGCTCAGCCACAAAACTGCAAGTGTGCACAGGGGGTGTTGGGTTCAGGTAGGTCCTACACACCATATACATCCCATTCCTTTCTTCTCCTCTTCCATGTCTGGGGCTGCAGAGGCCCAGAAAGAGCTTCTGCTTGGTACCAGCAACTGCTTGAGGCTCTTTCAGCTCATCCAGGTCTGCAGCAGATGTCTGAGGCAGTGGTGCTAGAAAAACAAGGTAGACACATGTATTCACACATTATTCCTTCCCTTTGCACAGAAACACACACAGGCACGTCCCAAGCTCATGCTAGCCTGGCCCTGGCTGCTTATCTCTCTTGGGTTATCAGTATCTGCCTCCTGGACTGCTCTCTGGGAGAGGAGAAAGGGATGGGACTGGAAGGAGGCTTCACAGCCAGGGAATATAACCCCTCAGCCAGGCCCCCCTCAGAGCCAGCTTTATGATTGCTGGGACCATTAATGAAATGTTTTTGGCGGTGACCCTGTGATGCGGCGGGGGCTTGAAAGTGAGAGGGAAATGTCAAACTCTGCTGAAGCAAAATCACTGCCTTGGAAAAAAAAGAAAAGGAAAAAAGCAAAGCAAAGCAAGAAGTAATATATCTTGATCCCTTTTCCCCCATAAAACCCTGGGAGGCTGGTGGAAGGAGCGGAAAGACTGAGCTAAGCCTGCAGGAAATTAAACATGAAATGAAAACAAGCTCGAGTTATTCAATTCTCTCATCCCAGGCTCCAATTTCCCATTCCAGGCCACTGATAAAATGGTGTCCAGTTTCAGCACTCAAGGATGAATTCTGGCTCTGTTCTTGCAGTCTGAAAAGCAAAGGACTGGTGTCCATCTCTGGTGAGAGAGGAGACAGCCTGGCCTTTCACAGAGGGATGGGGTCCTGAACACAGACAGATGGAGGCTGAGCAGAGAGGAGGGTAGCAGGGTGAGAGGACAGGAATGGGGAGAATGGATGCTATAGGGCTGCCAGAAGAGAGTAAAAGCACAAGAGACTTGAACATAGTGGGCCAGCTCTTACCTGCATCAGAGCAGTGATGCAGTGAGAGGTGCTGGGGACAGGGCATGATCAGAACCCCACAGCTGCCACCAGCCCACCACGACATGTGCAGAGGTCAGCCTCACCCACCACTGCCATGGCGGGGGTAGGAGAGGGGGGGAAAACCCCTTTTCTTTAACTTGGAGGAAGGACAAATCAGTGATGCAGCCCTAAACTATCCAGACATAGTCAGTGGCCTGGGTTAAGTCCCAGCTGAGCCCATCCACCTGTGCCCTGTGCAGGGCACACGGCGCTTAGTGGCAGGGGCAGACTGGCAGTGCCCACTGGGTGTGAGGATAGAGGCAGCAAGAGAGTGAGCAGGAGCCTCCTTGGTTTGTCTCAGGCCACTTCTGGCCTCTCCACCCCCAACAGCACATCAGCTGTGTATGCATATGGATTTAGGTACCACATATAGCTGAATGTTTACGGACACATGAAACATTCTCTGTTCTGTAGATTTTTACAGGGCTGATTTGGTACATCAGGGCTTATCAAAGCATTGTCTGCAGGAGTCAGATACATGACATTACCATACACTCCTGCTGTAATTGCTAACACTGAGATTCAGTCCACAGTGACTGCTGGCCCCTGCACAGCAGACGTAGCCCATCCTGACCCCAGAGGACATGCACTAGCCCGTGCAACCTCCGCTGCCACATTCCCATCCCACAACAGCCGCTCCTGACAAGGAGTGACAGGCAATGAAAGGAAAATGAACTTCTGTTTGGGTTTAGATTTGCTTTTTAAAAGCAGGTGTCTTCTAAGACTGTGGAAATACTGAGGATTAGTTGAGGTTTTTTGCTGACATTTTCACATTATACGTAGCCATGCCTGTCTTGTTTTCTTCGGAGCACTGTGGAGGCCTGGAGAAACCCAACTGCAAGATACCAAGAACCTATAAGGATTTGGACCAGAGGAGAAAGGAGAGCTTTAAAAAGTGGTCTAAACCTTGCCACAAGTGCTTCAGAGCTCACTGTCAGCTGTCAGTGCATCTCTGGTGCCTGTGACACCAACACTTGGACTGAAGACACTCTTCTTCTTCAGCCTAACGCGATGACTTGTCACATCGTCCCAGCCCACCAGCCACGTGGCAATTTGGGAACTGCAGTTTAAGTCAGTTTGCTCTGGTCAATCCAATAAGTAAAAGTGTTAGAGCAGAGGCCAAAACCTCACTCTGCTCTGTCAAGGCAGCTGTTGTGCTGTCCTGGGAAGAAGAGGGCACAGACTGATGGCTTCAAAGGTCACACTGCAGAGCCACACACTGCCGTGGGGGCCCGAGCTCGGCCACCCTGCTCCCAGGTGGGATGCTCAGGCAAGCAAGGCAGCCCGTGCCTTCACCACCACACGGGGAACGGCCGCGTATGCCTGGCATATGTTCATCCCGGCCTCATGCACAGCCAGCACTCTGCTCCCTACCTGTTCTGCACCCCTCTGTGCACAGCGGGGCCTCCTCCGCCCGAGGAGGAACCAGGTCAGCACCGCTAACTTTGAATCTGCAGATCAAAGCGGTGTGATCCAGGCCAGCCCTGGGACTGGCCTGCAGCTGGGCTGGAGTGGCTGTGCCAAGAAGAGGTAGAAGAAAAACAGACAGATGCCTGAGGCATCAAACCTGCTCCAGTAGGACGCTCTGCATGTGCAGCGTGTGCGCAGCTGGGATAACGTTAGGATGCTTCTCCCCACGCTTTTTGCACCTACTGAAAACACTCACAGGGTTTTTGATTTGGGGTAGGGGATTCAAAGCAGGTTGCTGCTTTGGCCAGCTTGTGGATGGCCCACGCCAGTGGCATTGCCATGGCCGTGGGGCCGGGCACTAAACCCTGTGCTGTCCTCAGCCCACATGAGGAGCACGTGCCTGGCAGCTGCATTATCTGCTCCTGCCCAAAGCAGACCACAGTGCACAGCCAGACCCTCAGCTGCCTACTCATACCACAGGCCTGGCTGCGAGAGACCAGCACAAGACTGTCTATGTGGTGGAAGACAGAAACTGAAGCAGGAGAGCCTGAAACAATTCTTCCAGCACAAGTGGGAAGGTCAGCTCAGACCAGAAACCCAAACCCCTTATCCCTCCCTGTAGCAGCTTCTGGCTGCACTGATTCAAGCTGCAGGTGCCACAGCACTTCTGCCCCTGCAAAAATTGTCCTGCCATCCCACCCTGTGCCAAGCACCTGGCTTGTCCTGCTGTCCTGTGAAGACATGAGCTTCCTACCTGGCATCTGCTCTCCCCAGGTGCCTGGCAAGCAGCAAAGCTGCCCCACGGCCAGGCGTGGGAAGGGCCAAGCTGCTTGTCAGCAATACCCTCTCTGGCCCCCTGCAGCGAGTCACCGTGTAAAACTTGAAGCAGAGCTGAGAGGCTCCAGGAGTGCTCCTTTCATGCACTGGCGTGACCTGCACAACCCAGCCCCTGGTGATCACCCTCATCTCTCAGTGCCTTCAAAGCAGCTCTTGATTGATGTGTTTCCCTGACTCACGAGCTTCAAGAGGCTTTGAAGACACTGGGCCAGGCTCTGATCTCTCTTAGACTGATGCAAATCAGGAGCAATGGTGCTGACAACAGTGCAATAATCCACACTGATGTCAAGCCAGTAAAAATAAGAGCAGAAACAGAGTTTTGGTCTTTGCCTTGAAGGGATCTGAGCAGCGCTGTGAAGCAAAGAGTAGCAAACCCTGCAAAGAAAACTCAGTGTAAACCAAAGGATGCTATGGAAGGACACCTGTCCTTTCCTGCAGCTAAGGAGGGGAGGGGTGTTCAGCTTTGTATTTCTTGTTGCGGTTAAGAAAAATGAGGGAGTTGGTGAGAAATGCAAGCTGCAGTCAATGACATCATCATACCCAGGATTAGTCTTGGGGAAAGCCCCATCACTACTGTTTTCAGCCTGGCAGCAGCACACACAGATGTATTCATACTTCTCCTCTGAGACTGGCTGACAGCAGGAGAGCTGCAGGCAGAGCCTGGGTAACACTGATTTAGGGGTGAGAGGAAGATGGGCTACTCCAAGGCAAATCAGGCTGTGGGAGGCAAGAGCTGAGAATGTCCCTAGAGAGGCTGTGCACTAGAAGATGGACATCCCCTTCTGCACGGAGTGTTCCCTTTCTAGGAGCACAGGCTGTACCCAGAGCCTCAAGAGAAGCAGGAAAGGACCGTCTCTCCCCTGCAGAGCATGTGTGTGGAGCAGTACCCTTCTCTGTGCCATACCAAACCACCCGCTTGGGGAGGCCCTGCCCTCTGGTGGGCTCTTCAGGGCTGCCGGGATACCAGCCACTGCCGGGCTCCCCTTGCTCACAGCCCTGCTGTCGTCTCTCCCCAGGTGTGGTTCCAGAACCGGCGAGCCAAATGGCGCAAGCGGGAGCGGTTCGGTCAGATGCAGCAGGTCCGGACCCACTTCTCCACCGCCTACGAGCTGCCTCTGCTCACCCGTGCTGAGAACTACGCTCAGGTGAGTGCATCCCCCTGCCTGGGCGCTGTGCCTGCTGGACACGCTGCCTCTGGTCCCAGTCCTCCCCAGGCCATTCTTCACTTCTCAGGCACATCCACCTGCCCTTAGGCAAGGCTGCAAGGACACCGGGGCTATACAGCCAGGCAAAGGGCTGGCAGTTTTTTAGTCAGGTGTCTTGCTTGGCTCCCTCATGCCCTGACCCAGAGCATCCATCTTTAAAGCAGGTACCAGGCACAGCACTGTGTGATACAGAGCAGCACCCTTGGCCACCCTGCTCAGCATATCCTATCACATGTGCTGCTGCCTACTAACTTTCCACTGGTTTGAAAAGATCCAAAAGGCTAATTCATGCCTAAAGAATAGCAGATCCTAAGGAGGCTTCCTGTTACCATGTCTGGTTTCGATGCCTCTTGGACATGGTGGCTGGATAAAAGCATTTTTCCCCTGGCAAATTCCCACAGCAGTCTCCCAGTGATGGGCTGTGGTACACGCAGCACACTTGGTGACATCTGGGGATGCTTCCTAAGGGAGTTGTAGATTTATGCTCCAAAGGAAGAAGGGAGGGAGCTGCCTTGTTGGGGTACCTGAGGCTGCTTCTGAGTCCTATTGAAACCGTTCCTGCCCTGACCCTAGAAGCAAGTCACAGGGTTGCCTTCCCTTCTTAGCTTCCTGTCTTGGAAAACCTGTCAGCATAATAGCCTCCTAAACATTGGGCCAGCCCCAGTTTCACAACACTTCAGATGATGCCAGGCAGACTGGGGTTTGCTAGCTCCAGGGCTAGGCTGTGCCTCACAAAGCACTCCCGCCTTCCTCCACTCCTCTCCCCACCACCCAGAATTTGCTCAAGGGCGCAATTCTGCAGGCATGATGCTCTGAACCTGACTGTCCTCACAGATTCTGCTGGAAGCCCTCCCTCTCTGCCACCCTGTCTGTCAGCTGCCTCCCCAGGCAGTGCTGTACCAATGCTACCCCGCAGCCAAGCCAGGAGTGTTTGACCTCTCTCCCGCTTGGCGTCTCCCATAAACTGAACAAGAAACCCTTTTGAAACAGCTGAGATGCCAAAGCAGCTTTTCAAGCAGAGAACACTCTCAGCAGCCTTTTTAGCATGTCCTTCTCTTGCCTTTGTAACTTACACTGCTCTCTCCCTCCATACTGCCCTCCTCTCCCAGCACAAAAGATTTAAAAATTTGAAAAGCAATTTGCAGAAGGTAAAAAAATCAGAGAAGACCCAAGGGCAAGCAGTGGAAAGGTGCAGTGGAATGAAGGGCCCTTTGCTCTCTTGCTCCAGCCAGCTGTTAATCTCCACCCTGCTTTCATCCTGCATGCCCATGAGCCCCCTGCTGCAGCACACCTATTTCCACTGCCAAATACTGAGCCCTCCTCTTTTCTGCAATATCATTTTATGAGTGACACTGCAGGATCCCAGATGGTCTCTTGAGGTGGCCCTGCAGGGCTCTGCTCTGCAGCAGGGTGGGTGATGCTGCCTGGATGGGCACTGCTGGGGGAGAGGGGCAATGAAGCTGCCTGTGCTGAGGGCTCAGCTCTGACAGGCATGTCTGTGTGGTACAGAACAGCCCTTGCCTAGGCAATTGCAGCTGCCCCAAGCTGGAGAAGGATGGTGGATGAGCAGCCTCACATCACTGCTTTCTGCCTGATTCCTTCATAATGAGTAGGACCACAGAAACACCATGGATGACACAAAGTTTCCTGTGCTGAGAAAAGTGCTCATGGTACAAAAAAAAAGTAAGAGTGTCTGGGAGAGGAATAAATAAACAGATGCTGTGGCAGAGAAGGAGCACAATGCTGCTCCCTGTGAGTAACCCTGCTGCACTCCCTGCCCCTGTCCAGGCTGGCATACAGGTTTTGGAGTGGATTTGCTGCCTGCAGGAGGGCTGAGTGTGCCACAGCTGGCAGGGCCCAGCAGACCGGACTGCATACTCATCTCACTGGCTGCCCCTCCACTAGGCTGCCCTGCCAGGCTGGGGCTGGGCACACTCCATTCCCCCAGGCCAGATGCCCAAAATATGCTGTATGGGGCAGCCCTGACGCTTCTTTTCCTACCCTCAGATCCAGAACCCCTCTTGGATCGGCAACAATGGAGCCGCCTCCCCTGTGCCTGCCTGCGTGGTCCCCTGCGAGACGGTGCCCTCCTGCATGTCCCCCCATGCTCACCCCCATGCGGCCGGCGGTGTCTCCGAGTTCCTTGGAGTCTCCGGGCCCGGCAGCCACGTGGGACAGACTCACATGGGTGGCCTCTTCGGCACAGCCGGGATGAGCCCCAGCCTCAATGGCTACGAGCTGAACAGCGAGCCGGACCGCAAGACCTCCAGCATCGCTGCCCTGAGGATGAAAGCAAAGGAGCACAGCGCCGCGATCTCCTGGGCGACATGACAGGGCTGCAGCCCAGTGCCCGCCAGACACGGAGAGAGCACGTGGGGACAGCCCCATAAATCCATCCGCTTGGACTCCAGACAGCAGTTGCCTCCTCGGGGATCTGAATGCAGCACTTTTAGCTACCCTAGGCATATAAAGTACATATGTTAATGTAAGTGGAGTGTTTCCAGCATGAACGTGGCAGCTCCCGGCTTCCTGGGATCAGGCAGGGAGAGGGAGGCTGTGGAGCAGCACCTCTTCCATCAAGATCTGGGATGGAATGCATCCCTTCTCACTGCCACCTCCCCGACAACCTGGGCATTTTTAATTTCCGCTGTTTGTTCTGACACCAGACATGCCTTTCCAAAGAGCAAGAGGCCACTGGCCTTCCAAGCAGCTTCTCCCATCCCACCACCCACCCCCCACATATTCTGCCCTGGGCAAGGGACTGGATGGGGACTCTGGCACCAGCAAAGAGACTCTCTCACACTGCCAACATCATTTCAGCGTGAGCTATGACTTCCCACAGCTGAGTGGGAAACAGAGCTGGGAAGATAACCAAAGCTAGAAAAAAGGCAACATTAGCCCACCTCCTTCTACCCTGCTCCCACTCCATCTTGTACTCTGAGAGGAAGCAGACTTGTAGAGTCCTGTGAAGGGGATGCTCCCTTACCCACCATGGCATGGTGTTATCACACTGAGAGTCTTTGCCAGCCCTCTGGTGACCCAGATGGAGACACACCCCAGCAAACAAAAGTTTTCCAGCATGGCTCAATGCCCCAGGGAGTGCCTGGGCTTTGCTTTCCCTAGTCGTGGTCTATGTTGAGGTTCACAAGCATGGTGGTACAGGAAAAGATTTCCTCTGTCTCACTCGGTCGGGAATTATTAACTTCAGTTTAGAGACAGTAGCTCTGGCAGGGAAGCACAACTGCTATGTAAATCTGCAAGTCCCCAAAAAGACTGCTCTAAGAAAGAGCTCAAGCACTAGCACACTGCCACAGTAGCACAAGGCCACCAAATTCCTCATACACCTCATCCTGGCGTCAGACATGTGCAATGACCGGCTCTCCCTCAGCCCTCCACCCCAAGTGCCCTGTTGCACACAATGGCTGCACGCATCTCTGCACCAGGGACGGCAAAGGGAACAGGCTGGGAAGGGGCTCAGGGGAGAACAAGGTGATACTGCCCCATCTCCAGCCACCTCAGATCCTCTTCACTTTGCAGAGGAAGTAGAAGAGACCAGAACTTCTCTGGTTTGTGTGAACCAACATGCCTCTCTGCTTTTCCGTCCCAGTGCTCTTACCTGCACAGAGCTGTTAAGATCTCCTTTGCAAGGCTAAACATTTTACAAGTTTTTCAGTGATCATAGTACATGGAATAATTTTGGAACATCCTTTTACCCCACTGAAATATCACCAAGGAGAAGCTGAAAGTCAGCTGAGCACACACAGTGTGGCACTGCAAGCTGGGCTTGAGCTGGGGTAGCCATCTCCGAGATTTGCAAGGGAATTATAGGATACAACTCCCAGAAAAATTGGTTTGTCACTCTGCCCTCTTTCCTCATGCTCAGTGTTAGGGGACCTTGTGGTTTAAGGTCCAGGAATATCTAGTGGTCCTGGAAAAAGTTCCAAATAAGCTACAACCAAACCAGCTTCAGGTTAATGAGCCATACAAGAATTTCCATAGTGCCTAGACTGTCAATACACTGCCTTAATGATACACTATTACTAGTTCAAAAGTAATATATTTACTGGGGCAAGAAAACACCAGTAGTACTGTTTCTTTTCTCTCCTCAGAAATGCTAAGAGATGCATTCCCTGCTATGCACAGGGAGCCAGCATGCATTTCACCACATCATCTACATAACCAGGTCCTCTCCCATCACAAGCAGCCAGGATTTACATCCCAGCGTAAACATTCAGCTGAGACCTCAGGCACGGTGGCTTAGATGCTGAAAGTGATGCTGATCACTGAACCAGGCATGATCATGCTGATCAGTTGGAGGTATACATCCCCACTGGGTACCCCAGAAGCCACTGAGCTTCCCAGCTACCCAGGGACTGGTGGCAGGAGGCAGTTTGTCCAGGTTTGTGCAGGCAGCTGAGCACAGTGTTGAGAGCTTTTTCCCAGGTACACTGGGGATCTTGATGCTTCCCAGTGTCAGCAGGCAATCAGTGGAGGGCTGCTGCCTGAGCAGGCCGGTACCATTGCTGACAAGGCAAATTAGCAACAAGCAGAGCTAAGGAGAGGGCAGTGGAGCAGGCAGCCATATGGGGACAGGTCTCACTTAGCCTGCAAGCCTGAAGGCAGCTCCAGTGGAGGGCTGTATCTATTCAAGAGCTTAGCTGCATTCCCTACTGAAGTTAAAAGGTAGCTTTTCCTCACAGACTTCCATGGGGCCAGTATTTCATTTAAGCTGTTTAACAGCCCAGAGGATTAAGTGCTGTATCCCTGTCTTGTTAGAGAGAGAGAGAAGAGTCTCCTGGCAGCAGACTTGGCATTTAGAGAAACTTGGCCCCCACTTTCTCTCACCTTAAAATTCATGTGGAAAGCACATGTTGGACTCAGTATAATTTAAACACCACTGCGTGTGCCCAGCCCTCAGCCTGCCTGAAAACACCACGCAGCAAGGGGAATTGTTCCCTGGACACCCTTGTGCAGGGCTCCCTTCCCACCTCTAGCTGCAGGCAGCCCCACTGCTCATCAGGCTCTGCCTCACCTCTCCGAGTGCTGCTGCCATTCCGGCACAGTCCCTTGCACCCAAACTTCTGGGTAACGCTGGAAGGGGGGCCCTCCCAAACCTTCAAAAGCAGTTGTTCTGGTAGTTTTTAAGCTACATGCATCTGTACTTAAAACACATTTTAATAATTAATTTAAAAGGGTTTTAAAAACTAGCTGTTAAATTAACATGAAAAACTGTATAAATATATATATATATACTTATATATATGTATATATATATGTGTGTATCTTAACCTAGCCAGCCTACAGCTACTGCATTTCTTAAAGGTCACAGGGTCAGTGCTGCTCTTGCAATCTCACGTTACCACGATGATACCTTTTTTAATTATTATTGTTGTTGTTATTTTAATACTTTTCAATTCTATTTATGACTTTCTTCTCTATTTATTTCTTATTTAGTATTTTACTCCTGTCTATACATTGAATCACAATTCCCTGCTTGGACTTGCCTTCAAAGCTGCAAGCTTTGTCCCCATCCACCACCACAATGTCTCACAAGCATCAGCCACTCCAACACCTGCCATGCCCATGGTGACATCCTCTGTGGGTGCAGCCCAGCTAACTGGGCTCACCCAGATGCTCCCTCCAGCCTCATGGAGGGAGGAGAAAAACATTTCTCCCAAGCACTCCTGGTCCTGGCTATGCAGCAGGTATCTTCCAAGGTGGCTGCCTTATGTTGCCCATGGCTGGGAACCCCAGAGATGTCCCAAAGCTTTGAGACCAGGAGGATGCAAATAGCAAGAGCAGCACGGGTTCCTGGCACTGTCTTAAAAGTGGTTGGGTACCACTCGCTGCCAAGCACTCAAAAGCACTTCTTGCCTACAAGCAGTAGTTAGTGCTTTGGTAGCAATTGAAACCAGCGGGGAACTAGGCTTGGGCTTGCTGGGCCCTGCGGGTTCCAGACTCTTAGGGCTGCTGTGCCTCAACAAGCTCGTGGAGAAGGGCCAGGTCAGCCCCCTGGCACGTCACCTACTGCCAGCAGTGCCACCCACCTGCACTCCCATCAGGCTCTCCAGCCAGGCTCCAGTTGCCCCCTCCAGAATATGCTACCCAGTTCAGGTCCCACTGCCCCAGCACCTACCTGGGTAGAGCCTACAGGGAGGAAGACCAAGACAGCAAAATAAAAAGAGAACCACCCTCTCTTTCCTCTAAAGCCCGTGGCAGGGTGTGAGCGAGCGTCCATCCCTGCCAGAATGCACATCCCTGCCAGGAGACACATCCTTGCTGGACCACGCCTGGCCTGAGCCAATGGCATGGGCAGGGTGTTAGGGAAAGGCCACACACAGTGACAATGTGTCACACATGGGGTCACAGAGCTGCAGCACACATGGCTTCACCTGCCCCATCACCGAGGGGACACATCACAGCCTGGTCCAGGAGTGCCCTGTGTGCTGCCCAGCAGGGCTGCCTGCTGGTTTCCCCCAGCAGTGGAAGTGTTTTGGGATGGGGAGGCGTGTTCCCCTGATTCCCAGAGTACACTCAGACCGGGCAGCACATTGTAAAACACTTTCCAAACAAACTAAGGCAAAAAGGTAGTTTATTGGAAAAGGATTGAAAAATAATCAAGCAGAGGCAGAGCCCTGTGTTTATTTTGCTGCTCTGACTGACACAGCAAAAAGCAAACAGACCGAGGGAGCAATTAAACCCGAATGGGAAGGGGGTGGAATCGGATGGAAAGTCATTCAGCCCTTTGCAGGTTCCCAAAGGGAGCCGGGAGGAGGCAAGGGAGCACCCCTTAACTCTTTGCTGGTAACATGGTTCTCCACTCCCCCCACATAGCTAGGTAGGTAGGTAGAGCTAGGACTTTTATACTACTGATTTTGAAGGACAGTTTTCAATGTATAATAATATATCAGTTTAGGTGTGCAGTGCTTGAAAGAGAGACTGGGAGAAAGAAAGAAAACAAACCTCAATCAATATTATTGGTTTTTTTGTCGTAAAATATTGTAACCTTGTATAAATGCTACCTTTTTTTTTTTTTCATCTCTTTAGCTTAACGGCCTGGGGTAGAACATATAAAAAAATTTAAAAAGTTTTAAAAATGTTCAGGAAAAAAAAGAATAAAAAAATCATTTAAAATGTTGCCACATGAGGTTTGTGCCATGCAATGTTATTGCCTATGCAACCATGTATTACCAGTTCATTACAGTGGAATATTAAAAAAGAACAAACAGTCTTGCAGCTTGACTCTTTTTAACTCTTTTTGAAGTAAGTTATTGCACTTGCAGCTTTTTTTTTTTTTTTTTTTTTTTTTTTTTTTTTTTTTTTTTTGGAGGTGAAGGGCTGGGATTTCCAGTCACCAATTTTTATTTTTCCAGGTTTTCAAAGGAGTGGGAAGGTCCCTGCTTCCCAGCCATCCAGGCCAAGGGGGCACAAACGCTGTTGTTGTTTTGGTTTGCAATAAACTCCTTCTCTTCTCTCCTCTCAACTGCAATCCGGCTGGTTTGTTCCTGACTCATGACAGATGAAATGTGATCAGAGGGGCCTCCAAAATCTCACGTTAATTGAAGCTGGCAAAAAATACTAACAGTGCCCTTTTGAACTGCTGACGCAGTCCAGAATGGATTAGCCGGGGGTAGATTAACAACAGGTGGCAGCTCACGGGCTGCTGCCTGTCCGGCACAAAGAGCTGGGTGCGAGCCAGCGGGCGGGCACGGCAGCG